TTTTTTTTTTTTGAAATTATTAAATAAAAAAATATATTTTTTACAAAAACAATAAAATAAATTAAAAAATGAAATAATTGTAGATATTATCCTTGTGAATCTTATTATAAGACCAGAATTTTGATATCTCTATTATTTTGTGAGGTATTGTAATTGGTAAATCMTCGCGGGACACCCTRTATAGTGTATATCAAGCAGTTATGAMAACTATTTGAAGATTGGCAGGTGGGAAGGTAGAGGTATGCATAATATGACTAAACTATTCTATAAGTTAAAAGTATTGTTATAATATAACAGCAAATAAATAGATTTTAAATGATTGTGGTTAAGTGGTAGACATAAAATTTGGTTTGTGACTCATTGTGTCTGGAATGTTTAGATATTGTGATAGTCATGATAACAGAGGTAGTCTAGGGTGGTGGTTTCAATAATAACAGACTGTAGTCTGTAGTCTCTTATAACAGGAAAGTACTAAAATAATAAAATTTTTTCACAAAGTATAYTAAATATCAGAAACACCAATATTTCATTTACAATGTTACTAGATGAAAATGGAAAAAAAACTAAAACCACTTCAACAAGAACAAAATAAAATATAAATTATTATATAATAAAGTGCACATAATATTATTATTTATTATAATTATTGAGTTCTGTTACAACCACTGAACCACCTACATGAATTAAAATATGACCTATTTTAATTATTCTTAGTCAACAGAACTGTCTGAGGAGATCTGTGTATCTATTTGTAAGTTGTCTTGTTGAGAGTGGTGGTTTTAAGTGTTAAGTATATTTTACTATTTTAGGTTAACATAAAGCTGATTATTTATAAAACATTGTGCTGACTGTGACAACTGTATTTTGCGCTCAATTTTAATTGATTAAACTGAATTTTCAGGAGTTATTGTAATCATAGGTCCAGTTTTTAAAATGTATGTTCTCACAATAGMAAAGAAACGAAGAGAACTTTTTTTGTACATCTCTATCCAACCTTTATTTACGTATATTTCCATTTCAAACTTAAAGTATAAGCCCATTGTRCAAATATAAACAGCATTAAAATCAAATACTAAGGACACAATATAACAACAATCATTTTTGCACAACCACCAATTTTTAAAGGACGTGTTTTAGATGTAAAATAATGTGAACTTAACGATAAAAATATAAAAAGTATGATTAGTACATCTAAATTGACAAAAACTATGTTTGAAGCAATTAAAAAACATCAACCACCAATTTTTAAAGGACGTGTTTTAGATGTAAAATAATGTGAACTTAACGATAAAAATATAAAAAGTATGATTAGTACATCTAAATTGACAAAAACTATGTTTGAAGCAATTAAAAAACATCAACCACCAATTTTTAAAGGGCGTTACATAAAGGAACCCATCAAAGAATCTCATCAGTCAGTTTTAGATAATTTTTTTAGCTAGAAATAGCATTTTAGAGATAGGTCTTATACTGCTCGTAAGTATTGGTTATAATTTGGAAGTCAGTAATGATACCACTCAAAGATTTTGTTAATTTAATATTTTAATATTATTTTTATTATTCTTATAGGAGTGAGTAGATTAAGTATGTTTTATCACATACCTACCAAATTTAATATTAAGTATAATTCATAATTTTAAAACTATTGATGAATTCAATAGGTTTAAACGGATTATACACAATTTGATAACATTATGGTTATATTTTTTTATACATTTTTATTATTATAGTTTTTGAGGATCTTTAATAGCATTGATATGTAAATAATATTGCTTATGGTTTAYAAAATTAATTTTTTAGCAATTGATTAAAATACTAAGATGTTCATTTTAAGACTTACTGTAAAATTTTCAACACCGACATTCATGTCTTCTATTTCTTTATGGTATTCATCCCATTTATCATACCTGAAAATTACAGGAATCTTTGATAAATTGTAATGTTAATGTTAATCATACTAACCTAATGACAGTGATGTACAAATTTACTAATTTGGCAGCAAATTTGGAAAACTGATTATCTATACAAACACTGTAATAACCTCCTGTGGACTCTTGGTCTTGGTAATCTGAACTGGCTTTCCACTGGTAYGGATGAACGATCTGSCCATTGGGATGTCTGACTGCAAAACCAGCCATTCCATCACCGCCTCTTAGCACCTGTTAAAAACAATGTATTTAATTAGTACCAAAGCAGTCAAAAATCATTTAAATGCTTATTATCCACACCTGAGCGCTCGCGTAGAATGTTGCTCCAGGGTTGACAAATTGAAAATAACAATCCTCTTTGCCCGGGTCGATGATCACTTTGTAGTCCATCGCGACGGCTGGCAATGTCTCATACCATGGCGCAGTAGGTTGAGCCGGTGGTGGCTGTTGTTCTTGAGCSGGTATTGGCTGTGCTTGTCCATTAGCATCGTCTAATATTGTGAAAAACAGAACGACGACACAACATAGACCAAACGTCGGCGGCCACAACCGATAGACGGCTGTTCTCTTCTGGCGTCCAACAATCATAACTGTGGCGGCAGCGGTGCAAATCTCCTTTTAAACACTGCAATCTAGTTTGGGGTAAAAAATGATGCTCACAGTTGTACGTTCGAAGACATTTCGCCGTTTTTTCCCAACGAATTACTTTCACGTAGATCAAACTGATCAAAGTCAACAGACTACCGAACACGCACGCCAGTCGTAAGTAGACACATCGGCATGTTATCAGTTATCATTAATGTAATATCACTATATAATAATTATAATATCATATTATTATTATTTTAAGATTTTACCAGTTCACAAGATTTTATAATTGCGTGTCATACATGAAGTTCGGAGCGAAATCGTTTGCTTATCAATTAATCGTTATCTACGCAAAGGTAACAACCACACAAGGTTTATAGATAATATATATGTATTGTTTATATACCTATTATAATTATATGACTATATTATAATGTGGGTAACAATCATAGATAATACGAGTAATATAAAAATTAAGAATGGATAGACCATTATTTAATATTAAGTTCTCATTACAAAAGAATTCACATTTTTATATTTTGAGATTTCGAAGAGGTCTGAACAATTACATAATAATGAAAAAATAATAATGATTAAACCCTTTTCTAAAGCGACTATAGAACTAGAGCACTATAAATTATAATATAAATATATTATAAGAGCTGCCTTTCATCCACATTCTCGCTCGCAAACCCATACGGCATGCGTTGTTAATATAGGAATCGCTTAATCGCTTAATTGGCCTATCTATATTGTTGTATTATCTAAGGTAACAATTCCTACGCGCCGTGATCACAGAATATATTATATAAGTATACTAATATTACTAATCTATAGTATAGATATCTGTGGCCGTGATTATCATTGGTATCATGGTAACAATGTAGATTGATATAATTTTATTTTAAATTTGAGGTTTTCAAATTTTTTTTGATAAAAATTTGTTATTAGACGATGATATAGGTAATACCTATTTCGGCTATCTCTATTGCTGGTCTTGGGTCCTAATTTTGAAGAGCATGATAAAATGGATTTAAAAATTTTCCGCTTCTACACGCAAAAATTGACGATTTATTGATTTAAGAATAATGCTTTTACTTATTAATTGTTCAACGTTTAAACCAGGCATGTTGAACACATGGCCCTTAGCTTAATTTTTGTGGCCAGCGGCTACCAATATTAATGAACAAAAGCATAATATAATAATAAAAATAATAAAATATTAACGTCGTGTTACAACTATCTTAGATTTTTAGAGAATAGTTAATTTTGTATTTACATTATTATAATGTCTTATTATCATCTGTTAAACTGTAATCGAAATAACGAATAGGTAAGAATTTTTTTTAATATTTCTTTTTGTTAAATATGTAGATATGTGCGGCCCGTATAGCCAAGCTTTTCAATATATTTGGCAAATTTGATACTTTGAGTTTGACATGCCTGGACTCTAAACCATTAACATTTTGCAGCTGTAACGCGAGCAAGTAGAATATTAATACTTTTAAACTTGTTTGACCCAGACTATATACTGCACTAATCTAGGTAATGGCATTTGTCGTATCCCTGCTAATCTATTATGTCCCATCAAACATGTATATTCTATATTTAGATCAGCTAAATCTAAATCATTGCCCAAAACTTCAAATTCATTTCTAATGTTAGCGTTAAAATCATGTACTACGTGCATATGATGGCGTTAAAACAGTTTAAAAAGTCTAAACGCTCGTACGCTCGCACTATGTAGTTTAAGAATTTAAAACCGATTTAATTTTWATTTTTATTTAAACCGTTTTAATGGCTTAATACCATCATATTATAAACGTAGTAATGGTTAGCAATACATCTTTAATAGAAGGTAGGTACTTAAAAATATTCATCAATATATATTAAGCGTTCTTCCAAATAATTAGCCATTGTTTAGACTATTTAACTGCATATAACACTTAGAGATCTGTTTTTGATTACCTACATACAAATTATGCATACCTATATCCCCGTTTTTCTTGAAAATAAATAAATTTGATATATTTTAGAGCTTTTCTATCARAACCTKTAAGGTTATCTTGGAGTACCTATATTTATTCACAATAAACTAAATTAATTTAACTTAATGGCTTAAGTTTGTTTATAACTGGGTAGCTGCCTCAGTATGTTTATCAAGATCCAAAACCGTTATTTTGACATATTGAATGGCGGTGAAAAAGCTGAGCACACCCCCTCCGCCTCAAATCACAAACATATTCATACTTTTTATTTTAGAGCTTCTTAGTATAAAATATTAAAACTCGAMAATCACAGTGAATATTTATCTAACCTTTTAGTTAATATTATATTATGTAAGAGGATTACAAAAAAATTAATCGACTATTTATAAGAATCTATGTTTAAAGCTTTTGTGGTAATTTTATTATAGTCATAATTTATACCCTTAATAGAAGGCCATGCCCAAATTTGTCATCAGTGATTGTATGATTATCATTAGGGTTCGGAAGTTATAGGAGCAAAATAAGGCAAAATACCGGTTGGCGTTTGAGATTTAATTGAAACTGAAAAAATGTAAAATTATTTAAAATAAATTGGTTAAGAATGAAAAAAAAAATTATTTTCGTAGAAAATATCAAATATGCGAAAATCAATGAAAATCGACGATACCTATATGCACTTGTTTTCTAAAATTATCGAAATATGCAAAATATGCATTTTTAATTTTCAATTTTTAAACTCAATATTGTATAGCTCGGACTTTTAGCTTGATCTACTATAATTCAACAGCATACAGAACAATATGCAACTCCTATAACTTCCGAACCCTATATAGTCATCACTCATCACCATCTTACGGTTCGCAAAATGACCACTTRGCTGTTCAAGTTTAGCTTTGTTAGTTTAAAAATTAGAATCAACCTATTATGACATTTAATGCTGAACATTATCTGTGACCGTATTTTGGTTTTTACGATAGTTCAATTTCTAAGCAATAGTTATGAGCATTTTCAAATATCGCTATTTTATATACTCTATATAGTCGATATATTATGCTGCKGTGGGAATTTCTTTTTGCAATATTGTTACAATTAATATTAATAAGTAAGAGGTATATTTTATTTAATATAAAGAAATGGTTATTAAATATAGTAATATGTATTATGTATAAATTAATTTAAAAATGTATATTAATTATTTTTAAAAAATGATGTAACGTAGTCGTCATAGGCCAATGGCAAGTTCCAATAAGTCAGGGCCGTTAGGCTACCGGAAACTTACCAGTATCCCGGTGCGCTAGGCTGTCCTGCGTTTGAACTATTATTTTCTGGGTGCCTGACTGTAAATAGCGTCTCAATGTACTTTTATGATGTAAATTGCGTTTCGGGTATTTTTTTTCATATGTAAATTGCGCCCTTTTATTTTTATATTAAAACGTATGCTAATATTTCCTTTCCTATTTTCTCAGACTTAGAATTGTCGATATTATTGTTATAACCTATAATATTGAAGGTATGATTAAAAATATTGGTTCGCTAAAAAAATGACTTTATATTGATGTAGATTAAAATTTGAACGAAAGTAAATCCAGTTTGAGATGTTATTCATTTAATATTTATTATAAGTCTATATTGAAGTAGRTATAGAAATTTGAATGACAGTTGCCTCACAAATTTAATTTGGGTTATTTTTTTAGTTTCTAATTCTTCCATTAAAAAAATAAATATATATCCTTTTTTTTCAATCAATCTTCTGTTTCTGATGCCCTGGCACTGTAATTAACTATATAAGYGTAATTTTGAATGTTTTTTAAAATTTTAATGAAATCAAAAATATTTGGATGTGAAGAATTAAATGAAGCATCCTGTAATTTTCAATGGAATTATTTACAATTGTTAGTCGTGCGTAATACCGTTGATAAATATTTTACTTATATTTATGGTGGAAAGTCAGTGTCACCTTTTATGTCTGATTCTAACACATAGGTAGTCTGTAAATTCTAATATTTGAGCATCTTGTAGTTGTATTGCCATAATGTCTTTGGTAAAATCATTTTCAATATTTTGTGGATTTAAAAAAGGATTTTTTTCTATTTATTTAAAGTTTTAAATTTTTAAACTCTTAACATCCCAAAGTGAAAAGAGTACAGATACAAATATATAATATATTACTTATTAGTAGGTTTAAGCACTTAAACATAGAAGAAGGGAAAAAAGAACAAATATTGAAATACATAATACAATAAGTACATAAAGATTTTACAGAGATGCGTGTTTTATTTTTATTTTTTTGTGCTTGTGTATATGATAAGTAGTCGATAATGCTTCGAATTTCAACTTTGGTATATTTTCCGGTAGGAAAGTGAATCTATTTGGTGTATTCAGGAGGTAAAAATTTAAAATTCCCCGTAGTTTTCAAAAGCTTTCGGAAAATAAAAAATAAAATAAGGAAAAATTGTAATTTTTACACAAAATTGGCTTCGACAAAATCGATTTTGGTACTTGGCGCATGACTCTTAAGAAMTTATAAAATAAAAATATAAATTTTTATAATGTGTTTAACTTGTATTAATTGCAAAATATATTTTCGGTAAATTATTGATCGGAATATTCGATTATTTGATATATTGCTTTACAAACCATGATAAAAATTAAAATGTAAATCAAATTCTTGATTCTAAACCGATTCCCACTTAATATAATCATCACTTACCTACTTCCTTGAGACCCAACATGTAAACATATAATTAACATTAATATATTTTAAGCCGAGTTTTATTTAGCTACATGCTAAATTAGTTCCTATTATATCTAGTGAATATACCTTAGAAATATTTTACTTTCAATCCAATAAATAAATATGCTGTAGCCTATAGGTTTATATTATATTATTAAGTGTAATATGATGAAAACAATAAACTGATATGTTTAACAATATTTTGTATTTTTTACCTGTTGTGTTTAACTTTAATTAAAATATCAGTAGAGAATATATTTTATTTACAATTTATACTATTCATTACAAATAAAGTCCAGTGATGGGCTTTACTTGGGGATCCATTAAAATTAAAAACGAACTTTGTGTGATCATGCTGAACCCATATAAAAGGAGTACTCAAAAAGTTGTGAGCAGCTTGTATATAGATTGTGAATATCGAACACTAATGGTATTATAGAGTGGGTGTTTTTGGAATTTCCCAAAAAACCATTGGTAAGAGTAGTGTTATCTTACGCAAAAAATTTTTTAAACAACATTGAATTTGGTTATTTTGTTTTAATAAATCCAGAAAGAAATAACCCTTCGACAACTTGAAATTTTCTCTGGTTTTAGTATTATAATATATACAATGTATATTGTATATGTGAAAAATGGCTTTATGGCTGAAAATATAATTTTTTTTTCATTCATAACATTTGCACTTTTGCTATAAAACTTTAATATAATAATATAAGATCATAATAATATTATTTTTATACAAATCGCATATTATTCTAAAGTGATTTTTTTTTTTAGCGCCAAGTTAATAATATTTTCCATGATATTAATTAATCATTGAAATTTGAAATACTTGTAAAATATTAAAACCAATGATTTTTATAGTTTATACAGCGTTATGTTTCGTATTAAGTAAAATTATGGTTAAATTTTTTTTTATTATTATTATTCATAAAATATTTTGTAATTACCTATACATTTTGATTTCGTTGCGGCAGTCATCCACTCATAACTGGTAATATTATAATRCATATTTATATGTACGTATTTATCATAATCGCGATACAAATGTGATGGTGTATCATTATTGCCTATACAACACGCCGTGTCATACGATGTTAAAAAAACAGCCGGACGCATAATGAAAAATCTTCTTGCTCAATCGAGGTACTCATTTTTATAACGTATAGGATGGTATTGGTAGAAAAATCAACACTCACTTCACTGATTGACGGTAGATAATCGAAATTCGATATTTTTAGAACATACTTATAGTTTTTTTATATAATTTAGTCATATCACGCACTTTTTTCGTTTATTATATCCCATAATATTTTTTCAAGGCCTATATTTTATTTGTGGGTCATATTACATGATTTTGAACAAGTATTCGATACGTGTGAAATATTTTATCACATCAAACGAAATTCGTGATTCAAACATTCCGTATGAATAAATCGCATGAGTTACAAGACTTTGATATGTTTTTAAATTTAATCCTTCATAGTAAATTTCACTTTTAATAATTCTGATCGATTTTTTTTGTTACCGAAATTTTATAGTAGATATTGTGTTAGATTTTAATCGGAAAAAAATATCATGAGGCGTGATAAATAACGCATATCCAATAATAAATRAATTTTGAATTTTGAATTTTCTGCTCAACTACGTTATTATAACAAATTATAGACCATTATAAATTGTAATATTGTCATATATAATAATATATTTATAGGATTTTATATTTTGTATAATTTATTAAATATTTGGTTTTTGGTGTCGAATGATCTAGGTATCGAGTTACAATTATAATATCATTATAATACTATAAATAATTTTTGTTATTTTACTATCATTATTTAAAACTATATAATTGCCAGTSTATCTTGATATTGTAATTTCCTATTGTAATACTTGGCATGTACTAACCTCGGTTTCTTCCTGAAACAAGTGATTTTCATAATATAATCATAGTACTTATAGGTTGTATAAGTATAAAATAAACAATATTTCAAACACGCCCAGTACCTAACTAGTTTATTTTATATGATACAAGTACTTATATTTTTGAACTGTAATTTGTAATTTTTTTTTATTTAATTCAATTGAATTCGTTTTTTAAAGAATGTATGACTTTAAATTTGAATACGAATGGCGGTTATTCATTGTTGTGTTCAATAAAATACGAGATTCATTATTTGAGCACTTTAAAGTTTAATACATCCTATAAACAGTTTAAGTACTGTAGTGTAACTTGTACACATTTGACATTAGTACCCAGTATCCACCTATTATACACCAAATTCCGTTAAAAATCGTTTTTTAAATGGTTCATGATTAATATTCATCTTTTCAAATTCAAGTACTTTTTTCTAGTGACCTACTCATCTCATTTATTCCTCATTTTTTCTTGTTTAAACTAAAATATTAACGTCAAACATTTTAAAATCTTTAAGTTATTCGACTTATATAACTGTTGCATACAAATAGAGATACAAATATTATACTAGTAAACAGATAGTCATTATGATAAAATAATGCAATACGTATTTAATATAATAGTGGTACCTATATCTCATATTTAGTTAAAAAATGATAAACTACCATACCGATACCATCACGTTTGTCAACGGTCACAATAAACTTTAAACGAATCGTTATTTCACTTAGCAGTTCGTTAAAGGAGTCGCATTTTAAACGTGTTAAATGTATCTTTAACGGAGGTTAAAACGTTAAAAGTCGGTTGAACGGCACAGTGAAATTCATCACATCCGTGACCAATTAAGAGTTTGTAAAAATGATTGTACAGATTAGTTATTACATCGTATATTTGAACTACTGATATTAAATTTTATCAGTAACTAGCTGAACCCGTGCACTTCGTAGCCCGTTAAAAATCTTAATTCTGTTATGCCTCAAATTGTATGTTAAATTCGTTACCTGTGATTATACTAGCAGTATATTTATATATATATACATATATAGATAGATAACGGTTAAAAAATACTAAGTAATAATTTTACAACGCTATTCAATTTAGTTTATTATTATGTACCTAATGTTCAGTATTTTTGACAGAATTTTCCACCCAACAATTGGGAAAACAGATTAACGAAACGCATTCTGGTGGAGAGAATCTTAACTAACCGATTCGGGATAGATGATTTATCCTGCCAAATACTGATATAGTGATATGTGTGCAGTRTTTTATTGAAAATGAATTATATTATAATTTATTAGTATTAATACACCAACCTAACTGTTTCTGCATCAATATCAATATTTATTTTTTTAGTTTTTTTGTAGCAACAATCAAATGTATCCACGGGTAATGGTTTKTACTTGGTTAATGTTGGCTGCCTTAGTTTTGACCATTGACATTTTATGTCAGTTGATGACAAACTTTYCAWATCAGCAATTTTATTTCTAATATCATAAGTAAAACATAAATAATAAATTTTGAAACAAACAAAATGTTATATAAATGATTTTTATCATTTTATAATAGCTTTTACAAGAACCTATAAAATCTAAAAAAAGTATAAGATTCTTTAAATGTTTGAATCTTATCTAATAAAACATATAGACTATTGATAATATTACTCTTCAATTGATTTGAGGAGAAAAGAGCTTAATAAAGAACTTTTGAAATGTTTTTATTTAAMACCCAATAAAACTCAAACAGATTTGAGTATAATATACTTAGGTATGATTAATATTTATATAATTATTCACCTGTTCAAAAACAGAAGTACAGCCACTATATGCTTACAGYATTCTGAAGCGCMAGCTATGCAACTAYAAGTAAATGGCATAATACTTAAAGAATGATTTACCAATTCACCATACACTTCATGTGGCAAATCATTTAAATGTGATGTTTGTAAAATTAAGGCTTTAATTTGTATAGTGTTCTTCTAAAAGTTTAACTTTATTATTATAACAATAAATACATAATAATAAGAAAAATCAATTTATTTTTCAAAATTATTAAATTACCATTTCAATTTTGCCACATACAATAATTTGACGACCCATTCATATTTGCTCACCTTCAATGGCACTTCAAGAGCTAACATCACATTTGGCATAAGTAAATACATCAACCAATGACAGAGACATCAAACCAATTATTGTAAACTGAAATATTGATGCAATTAAATAAGGAAAGAAAAAATTCAAAAAATACAAAATAATTTTTAAATTGAAAATAACACCAAAACGACAAACTGATAAGGAGTCCCGAATCGATGCAGTGGGGTAACCACCCATCCATAGTTAAACCAGCGCTCCCAGTGCTAATCTGTTTTCCCAATAATGTACAATGAGATAAATATTATAAACCAATATATATTTAACATAATTTATAATTTCCCAKGGAAACCAGATCTTGGCAACTTTTATTTATCATAATAAAATTCATAATATTCAAAAATCTCTTTTTAAGAGGCATAACTGCATAGAAATGACGTTATTATAACAAAAAAGAAACAAAAATAAAAAAATATCAATAAAAACTTATAATATCATAGACGCATGACGTGCTATATGGAAACAAATAATTACAAATTTAGAGATAGTAATTCCTTTCGCACTAACATCAATCCTCAATAATAGAAACTACTTATAAATATACAAAAATTTCCATCGTCAATCTCAAAATGTCTGTTTRGGCATCTCCCGGAGTTGGGCTTATCACTATTTTATTTAGCCTATCTTCTGCACATAGGTCTAATATGTCTCTGTACCAAATTTCGTCCCAATCCGTCTAGCCGTTTAGGAATGTATAAAGGACAGACAGATAGTAATTCATTTATACATATATATAATATATTCACCTAGTCACAATATTCGTTTTAAAATCAGTTTCATGTAAAACGTTTGCACTTGRTTGTTTAAATTTAATTGTTACAGAAGATGAATAAATTGTCCACACAGTATAATTGATAGTACTATAGTACTATATAATTTCGTTGAGTATTCGTATCAGTACCATAAATCATTATCCTTCCTTTGTACAGTCTACTCTTAATGTTTAAAAACGAAGATTTTGCTATGCAATGTATGCATATACAATAAAGTTGATCATACTCACTATATGACGACCCTGTAACATAAGCTGTAAATTAGTTGACATCAATTATCACATCGACATATTACAGTCAAGTAACACAATATTATTAAAGCATGTTAAACATTATAAATAAAAATAAAAATATTTTAAACATATATTATGATAAAAACTTAAACTTCCTGTCGAGAACGATATTATATTCCTTATAATGTGAATGCAYAACTCTACAGCAGAGCTGTGCCCAATTGATTTTTACATAGATATATTTCCTTAAATTTAGAAATTTATAATTATTTCTTTTTTAAATTTTTTGAAAGTATTTCGCGTWGTAAAGTATTTCAATAYAGTTTTCAAAATATTGATATAAATTTTAATATTTTTATAGCAGTATGTAAGCTATAAACTTAACACGCAATGGTAAATATTACTTTATCTATGTGTACTACATAAATGATTTAACTAATTAATTCACCTTAAAATTGATATTATTTAGCATCATATTTGGAAAAAACATAACTACATCGGTAGTTAAATTATAACTGTATGCATTTGTATATCTATAAGTAATAATTCATAATATATTATAAATATATTAAATGTAATGGTATATTATGTATAACTAAAACTACAGCTCTAATAGCTGTCGTTATATTATATTGCTATTTTTTTGGCCATAAGGAMAATAATATAATTATACTTATACCTTGATGTTACTGTGATTTATATATATTTTTTGTATCCCTAAATATTATTTAATTTGTGTATTATATAACAAGTCAGCAACTTATTTTTACCTGTAATCGTGTTACTATTTTGTATTATCAATTATTTGTAAACACATCTATACTCATACACATTTAGTTRTGACTTAACACATCTCTTAWCAACAATTATACAAGTCTATGATATAATTATCAAGTTATGTACGGATATTTTAAGTGTTGTTTAATATTTAAAATATGGGAAGAGCATCACATAAATGTTGCATAATTTGATGCACCAATTCAGGTCATACATTTATGTGATTGTAAAGTTTTACTTGATTTAAAATTCATCAGCTCTTTTTTGCTGGTATCACACTTTCAAAATATTCATAACGGATTCTGCAGATATCAAAACATGTATATATACTATAGTTATGGTGGAAATTCTACTGCGAACAACCTCAAGTGTTTAACTGGAGGCTTCTTTCTTGAACTAAATACTGAGATTACCTAATAGTATATATAGTATGCAGTCTAWGCAATATGAAGTCTCAAGTCGAGTAAACACTTTTAACATTTAAAACTTACTATACATGTAATATACCCGACCGTTTTCCAAATCCCAAAAATTATCTTGGAMACCAAGATCCCCAGGTTTTGTGCCTTGCGGCTACAACTACAGACCTTACATTAACACTGTGTGCTAGTCAGAGCCACGGAGGTTTACGATCACCATACGACAGTCTTATCCGCCGTCCGTCGGCTGCACGTCGTCTAAGGACCACATCACGGGGCGCATCCCCGTTACATCGAAGTCGGGAGAGAGCGCGCTCGTACTGTAGGCTGAGGTGTGAACATGCCCTTCGCCACCCTGATTGGGTACTGAACTATCCTCACTGCTTACCGTTTTTGGTCTCGGGCAACCTATATACAGCTTAACCTAATCTCATCTGCATATAACGYCGCCGGTAGGCTGGGTGTGCGCTAAGGAGATACTCACTCGGCAGCCTTCCCCTAGACCAAGCGAAGGTCTTTTAACCAGTATCTTCTGCTACCACTACTTCGAAACCAATCCGCCGTCGACCGCGCAACGACTGGAGCCGGTGCGCGACCACCGTGTGAGTGCACAAGTCAGTAATAATTAGTCAGTAGTAAGCCTCAGCTATGGTCTTACCGAGATTTGGGCCATGTGTCGCGAGCTTATGGTGTGCCCTCACCGGGCGGCGTTCACTGCCAACGCGGTAGCCTCGAACCCCGAGTTATAGGTTTGGTATCCTGAAAACTGTTCCTCTCAGAGGCATCACTGAGGTGATCGACCAGTTTTATATATACCACTTTAACTATAATTATATTATATTCAAAGTGTATTCATAGTTCATACTAAAATTAATGACATATTTTCGGTAAAAATAATCATGTTATGTTCAAAATGTACTCGTAATATCTATTTTAATCCAAATTCAACTAATAATATATATCCAATTGAAAAAAAAACATGGAATTATTTATTATTTTATAAATTATTCCAACATATAAGTAATATTGTGCGAATTGTGCCAGAAATCACAAGTAAAGAAAAAAAAAATTGGAATTCATTAAGGTAATACATAAACTGCGCCGGACGATATTGAGGTCCAAAAAAGGTTATATATATATTAATTGCGTCGATGATATTGGGCTGAAGTATGAATAATCGTTATGTTACCGATATCAATATTTTAAAATTTTTAACAAATTATTGTATTGGGGGACGAGGTGGCCGAGCGGTCTAACGCGTCGGCTGTGGCTCAGCCGGACCGGGTTCGATCCTCGAATATCGGGCGACATTTTTCTCCGGGMAATTCACGGTGTCCGGAGAACAAGTGCCGCCATCTCCCACTCCGGGGCTTTAATATTTTAACAAATTGCACATAGGTAATTGGACTGATTAATAGAGTAATTATTATCTGTCGGTAAGAAATTAGATAATTATTTCAAACGTATTTCGTAAATTTTCACTTTTCGAGTAAATTAAGTGAACATTACATATTTATAATATATACCTACAAATAATACTATAGTATAGATTAAAATTTAAATACATTAAAGTCAGTATTGACTATCGAGTATCGACCGTAAGCATTTTTGCATCAAAATGTCGTACATTTCTGGATATTATTGTACACACGATAATAAATTACAATTAAAACGACCGTGATAAATACGTACAAAATGTGTTATAATTATGTTTGACGATAAAAAKGTTAAATTAAATATTTAAAAATTTAAATTAAACATAAAATTTAATATTCTGTTACTACTGTACAAGTAAATTCCAATTCATAATGTAAATTGTCCAGGAAGGGGTAAGAAAATAAAATAAAAACGGTAATAATAACAATAATAAAGGTAGTTTTCGATTGTTATGGGACTGCAGTAAGACGACATAGGGGTGGAGGTTATGGTAGGATCGTATATTGATTAACATGTCTCTCTCGGCCAGGTAAACGATGATGGAAAAAGAGTGGAGAGAGAGGGTAGGTGTAGCTCTTCGACGGTACGCATTGTGTGTGTGATGGCGAACCACAGAGAGTAGGTGAGTTTGGAGCAGGGTGGGGAGTGTCGACGGTAATGGTGTAGGTGGTGTTGGGAAGAGACGGGAGTCTAACCGGAGAGTGTGGAGTAGTAAAGGGATGAAATATAAAAATCCGTCGAAGGGCTTTCTCTCACCGCCGCGAACAGCGCCACAGGTCAACTTGTTGTTAGTACTCTAAAATTAGGCGCGCGCAACGGTTCGTCAGCCAGCCAGCCAGTCGACAGTCCCGCCCGGCAGCCAACCAGCCAGCCTTTGAACCGTGATGTTCATGCCGCATCGTAATTGCCAGTCAGTCACCGGTTGAACACCGGAACGGAAATACGTATATCCCCTCGATCGAATCCTTATGGTACGTCTCTACATATTTAGTCTACCCTTCCACCTAGTGCGCTGTGTTCGTTGATTTTAGATTCGCTCCTCCACCTTTAGTTCATACTTTTGTCGATCTCGCCGTATTCTCGTAATTTGCCATCGTCTGCGAGCGTACGTGCTCTCGTTCGTACCGATCGTCACGCTTTCCACTTGGCCCGGCAACAGGTGAGTGGTCCAACAAGTATTATATTGATACCTACGCGATATTAAACGCATTAATCTTATAAAAATGTAATCCAATGACGTGGTCATTATCCTCCAACTATTTTCATACTGAGTTTTGTATGTTATCATAAAATATAATTCATGTGTAGTAATAATATAATTGAATAATAATTTAGTGATGATGATAATATTAATAAATAATAATATAAACTGTWCTAATAATATGTAAATCGTGTACGGAAAATGTAAATATATTAAAATATAATCCCCTAGTTCACTGAGTAGAATATTAAGATAGGTACATTGTATGAAACATTTTTATACATTTTAATATAAACTTATTAATAGACGAGATGACTTTTTTAGTTATCTTTATTTAGCTTGAAGCGATAAAATACTAATAATGTACAGTTTTCAATAGTAGCATTTAAATATGTCATATAGCACGCGTATACGACATGCCATATTCAAATATATAACTTTTGTAACAATAACTGATACGTATTTTTGTTTTTGGTGGGGAAGAGTTTATACAAGGCTCCATCATCTAAGTGCATTGTTGACGATCATGTCTGTATGTTTTACTTATTGGATGATAATATTTCACTGCCCTCCTTCTTAACCAAAGTAAATCTACTATCAAGACATTAWATATAAAAGTAATTTACTAAATTAACTTATACTTATTGACAAGCCAAGACTGAACTTGACCAACACGTGAGTTTAGTATCGAAAACCATTCACAACGTTCATCAATAAATTATTGTCATTTTAACCTAAATTGTATTCACTATAGCTATAGGTACTATAACACAATTATAGATACAATTAATTATTACTAAGGATGTAATTTCTAATTGTTAGTGCACTCGAACGTTCATTTTTCTAAAGTGTCTGTTTGAATATATATTTCTATTGTAGTTGATTCTATTGTTGTTGTTTTTTTTTTTTAATTTTATTGACAAGATTAAATAAAAATTCTCCAAAAGTTTTATTTAGAATCGTAAATTAATTACAAGCATACTTATGTTGAGCTGAGCTACAAATAAATGCTACCTATATAATATGTAAACAGTTCATGAATTTCAAATTAGACAATAAATTAAAATATACCATCAAAATAGAGCACTTTTAGCAATTGAACAAATAATGTWTTTTAAATGCACATAATATTTTATTGACCATTAATACAATATACATAATAGCCAATAGGTAATATCATTTATTTTCATACGTAATTTTAGGGACAATACAACAAATCTAATATTTATATAAACTTTTTTTAGACTTACAACTAGTTAAAAGTGGTGAAATATAATGTACATAAATCGATTTTACTAGTTTGTTGTGAAGAAGCCATCAGATAGATGGAACGCTTAATATAAGTGGCATTATACATATATTGCATTACTATATATACTTATATATTAAATACCTATATTTAAAAAAAACTAATGATAAATAGCTTTGGAATCTGAGTGGTTTTTGTGAATCACACTCTATATTTTTTCATATTTATTGAAAATTTGATTATTTTCATACTATTTTTTTTGAAATATTTTTTGGGTTTTCGCACTTTTAAACACAACACTACCTATTTTTGCTATGGTAGAATTTTTAAACATTGATAAATGGAATAGTGCAGTGTGATTCTAATCAAGTATACTTGCCTTTATTTTCCCTTAATAACGAAATTTTTCAAATTCTGATTTGTGGAAAATTTAAGTCACTTTTTAGAGCTGTAAATATATTATCAATCTTCATAATCGAGTTTGGTTTATGCCAAACCTAATCTTTATGGTAACATATTAGATTCAAGGCTTTTGGTGTTCTAAAACTCATTGAACATTTCAAAATTATCAGGACTATGTTCTTTTATGATATGCGTTATCATTAACGTGACCAGCAGAACGAGAAGGAACATTCTGAATCTACTATGCTTTAGAGTGACTTTTATAATTACACGTTTAATAAATATGATTTTTCGTATGTTAGAAGTGTAACGAGTTTTTTCTGTGGGGTTGGTTTTCAGATAAAAAATAATGATAAATCCTATAATGCAATAACAATAATTACACTAACAGTTGATAATTCACCAGTCACCACACAAGAGTAATATATCGCATTTATCTACATTATAGTTATCTAACTATTATATATTATATAAATATAGTATAAATGATCATGGACATCATTGTATTTACATAATTTAGATCCTATTTCAAGTAAACACCTCAGTTTTGTAATTAATTGTTTTTCCGTTACGATAATAGTCTTAGTTGGCTATAAAATATTTATGATTATAATCAACTTAATCTATGAAATTCAATAGTTATTCATTCATAAGCAATTCAAGTTTAATTGATGTTAGTAGTGAAGCCAATAATCATGATGACTCATCTTATCGAAACATTAAACAATATTATAAATAATGATAGTATTAATAAAAAGTTTATTAAATATTCGATTTTATGTGTCAAAACTATAGTGGAAATATTCGGTTTCTGAATATAAAATTTAATTTAGCATACGTAATATAATATAACCTCACAGTTTAACATAATATTTTCATTTACAACTCTAAAAGAGCAATAGGAAGGACATTGTATGATTAGAAATATACGAATTGTCCTTGATGCAATAAGAATTACGATTATTGATTGTATTATAAGGTTATTAAGGAACCTTTAATATTAAATTTCCAATACTATAATGCGATGATGCTAATAACGTTAATGTAGTTAATCGTTAACCATTGGTTAAACTACTGACAACGTCACCACGTTTATCATATTTGTCGGTTTCGATAAATAAAATATATGTTATATCTCTATTACTTTCGTATGTATTTGTCAGGATGTTAAAACGATTTTATTTTGCATATAAAACAAAAATACGCATCATTGTATAAACCGCGTAAACAAAAACTCATTTTAATCAGATAAAAATCTACCGAGGTACCTACTGTAGTAGAAAATACTGGAATTAGAAATGGCGACGAAAAGTCGAGAGATTGGGAGGTTTTTGATAGAGACTATAGTCTCTAGTTGTAGGTGTTGTGATTGTGCTGTTAAGAATTTCCTTGACATAATATTACCATGATAATTGAATTTAAAACTGATTCTGTGAACTGTCATAAATTAAGGAAATGACAATGTGCACATGTTCAACGTTTGTTATCATATACATATGTCCATTGAATGCGAGTTCTCGTTTGTTTAGCAAAATAAACACGGTATACAAACTGCAGTTGCGAACGAAGTGTCTAGAGATTTTACTAGGCGATAGTGGGAAACTTTTGTTTTCGTTCAATGGTTATAATAATACGAATGTGAATTATGTCATCGTCTCTATACATTTTGATGTGTATCGTTTGCTTGAGACGTTATATGGAATTGCTCTATGCCCGTTAGTTTAACTGTGTCTTATGTAACGTAATTATTTATATTAGATATAATGTGAACATATTTTATATTTATATTGCACTAAGTCACTGCGAATATTAGGTGTATTCTAAGCATTATTAATTATCATAGTATAGTGTGACTTCCGCATTTGGTTTAAATGTGTGTCGTGTGTATGTAGGTATGTGCTTGAGTGTGTGTGCACTCTTCTCTTTTTCCGACGAAAAGATAAATTATTATTTATACTTAAAAAGTTTCWAGTAGGTCGGAGTAGTGTTAAGCAAACGTTTGGGTTAAGTAATCACTATGGGAGCAACCAAATAATTTAACTTACCAACTATATAAAGCGAAGWTTTTTATTTTAAAAACTTAAGCAACCAACGGGAATATATATGTTTATCCACTCTTTGATAAACTTTGAGAGCACCCTAATATGTACCTATAAAATATAATAATATTATTACTTACTATACACGTTTTATTACCTTTTACTTGAACGAAATCAATAGAGTTGGTAAAATCCTTGTAGTGTGGTTACATACATAAGCTCAATTATAGCTGTTTTATTTTTCTGTGTAATCCATTTTTTCTTTCTATATTTTAATATTTTATAATAAATACAATAACCAATACATTTAGTTAAAAGGTATATTAGGTATTTTATTCGTTTTACATTCAAGTGCACACCAAAGTACTATACCAACAACGAATGAATGAATATAGACTATATAAGTATATTAATAAAAAATTAAAATATAGGAAGATCAAGACAAAAATAAACTATAAATTATATATTAATTAATATAACCAATGATAACTTACCAACGTTGTTGTACACTAAAACGCAGATTAAAAGACTCATTTTCATTTTCAACAAACAACTTCACGATTTACAAGATTTATTAATTTTCACATTGTTATGTACCGAGTGGTGTGCAACTTCGAATAAATATATTTTATTATGATCAATAATATTATAGCGACGATCGTCAGTTATCATGATCGATTTGCTATCGACGCGTGAACGTACGTAGATTATACAGTGGCTTATAACTGACCATGGAAAGCATACAACAGTTGTAGTGTGCAACGCATCTCCCGTGTCGTTTCCGTAGTTTCTTATTATTATTATTTATTAGTAATATAATATACACAAATTTGGAGTACAGTCTATATATAAACAAACGTAATTTATTATTTACTTGCTCACCACTTTTCGACACACATAATATCATCATTAAAAAGTAGATCACAGTTAAAAAACAATTTCAAATGATCTATTGTAACTTGTAACAACAAAAACGCTATTTGCAACGGTTCAGTTCTTAAATTAATTTTAGAACGAAATAATATGTACTTTTTTAACGAAAATATTACTCTGACTTTATAAACACACCACTCAATATTAGCCTACTTGTTCTACGTCTTGTAAATGTTGGTCGTCAATGGATTAAAAACTATGTTGCGCTAACAACTTACCTTCAATTTTCGACAAAAAATGATGGAATTTAGTTGCGTATACTTTATTCAGTGTAGTAATGGATAAATGATTTAATTCGTTTAAATTACAACCTAGGTTTTGTACGCCAACAAGCT